AATCTTCCTTACTGTCTTATTTAGTGTCAGTACATGATCTAGGATGTATAGTGTCAGTACATTATCTAGGATGTATAGTGTCAGTACATTATCTAGGATGTATCGACCCGGGATAAAGCCTGTCTGATCAATGTGAAAGCACTTATTCGTGATTTGGGTGAGTCTGTTGGAGAGGGTCTTTGCCAAGATTTTATATGGAAGTGTTAGTAGTGAGATTGGCCTATAGTTTCTAATATCTTATTTGTCGCCTTTCTTATAAAGTAGTGTGACCACACTACTGTTGAGTAAGTTGCCAAGTCCCTCCTTTGTCCAGCTGTCGTTATAATAATTTAGCAGGTCAACTCCTAGAAGGGGCCATAACTTTTCCCAAAATTATTTCGTTAATCCGTCGATCCCATGAGTCTTGCCGTTATTCATGCCTAGTAAGGCTATATGTAGTTCCTCTATCGTGATTGGTTTGTCTAGTGCCTCAGCTTGTTCGGCAGTTATTGTTCGTTCCAGATAGTGAAGCATTTTTTGTCTTGCTTCCCTTGTGCTGGGAGGTACCGGTGTGGGGGTCTTTGATTGGTAGAGGTCCCTATAAAAGTTTTGGGCTATCTCTAGCATCTCTTCACTGTCCGACGTCATCATCTCTGAGGCCATCGTAGGTCTCAAACCTTTTATTGTATTAGCTCTCGAGTTGGCCTTAATGCGAGCAAAGAAGTGTTTTGTCATTGAGTCACTGAGTTCGTATTCGCACATTCTGGCTCTTGTTTGCAGGCCTTTTAAATCCCACCATCTCCAAATCGCCAGCTTTTCCCGTGCCTTGTCAAAGATGTCATTATATAGTGGCAAGGAGGGGTTGTTTATCAAGTTGGTTTCGGCCAATTTTAGAGCAAATTTTAGAGACTGTCTTCTTTGTTTCCTTATGGACGTGAGTTTTCTAAAGATTTTGGCCGCAGTGGTTGAGAGGGTGGAGTGATTTTCTGGAACCAATCCCACCGGGACTCGGTGCTCAAGCGTATAGATCTCTATCCCATCCAGAAGTCAATTATCTCCTTTTGGAAGGTTTGGCTGAGAAGTAAGGAGTTGTTAAGCTTGTGGAAGCTGGCACCCCTTTTGACCACTTGGTCGAAGCACAAAACTAGCTCTATTGGTTTTTGGTCGAGCCCTGTGTAAGCGGCTAAAGGTAGTACGTCCGCATCTTTTAATGCCCCCATCATTATTTTTGACACCAAGAAAAATTCAATTCGTGAGAAAGCCGTGTGATGTGCATGATTTTTCTTGATCAGGGTGAATGTTTTTTTGGTGGGGTGTAGGGTTCTGTATGGTTCTACCAAATTGTGGTCCAAGATCAATTCTTGAATTGGTATTGCTTCTGTTGAATTGACATTATTGGAGGACCGAGATATACAGTCTGCTATCGGATCCATGGTGGTGTTCCAATCGCCCGCCACAATACGAGGAGTCAATGGTGGGATCAGATTTCTGAGATTTGTCAGAAAGACCATTCTCTCCGTCGTCGAATTCGGTGCATATATGTTGATCAACATGAATTCCTCTTTCCATTTAATGTGTAGCAGGCACCATCCTCCTTCAGCCAGATCCGCTTTTGTTGTCTATAATTGAGCCTGCTTTATATAATCGAGAGGATTTGGGAATCATGATTGCGGTCCCTTTGGAGCTTGTGGAGGGGTCAACTGACCATCTTTCATCTTTTAGGCCTCCTAGTTTCCTTGCCAGGAATGAGCGGATTCTGTTATGTTTGATCGAGAAAGTGAGATGAGTTTCTTGGAGTAGTAAAATATCCACCACTTTTATGTTTTCCATTGTTAACCCTGACAGCAAATCGTTCATCTTTTCTTCTCTTTCCACTATATTCCCAAGTCCATTGACATTCCAACTTCTAATGACGAGCCCTTGAATCTTCCAATCAATGCGATCCCCTGCCTCGTTAGCCCTTAGTCTATAGCTCTCCATGGTTGCCTTTGTACGGGGTCAGGGGGATTGATTGGTGGGGGGGTGCTCTTTTTTCTTTTTTCTTTTACTTTTATTTTTCTTTTATTTTTTAAATTTTATTAAAAGAAGAGGTGCCCCTTCTATTCTCGGGAGCGTCAGTCCGGTTGCTTCTCCCCGCAAGCCAAAGAATCAACAACTCGAAGGCAAAACATAAAATTATGGTTGGTAATCATAGATGGACCATTTGTAATGAACCTGGTCTGACTGATACTTGGAAGTCGTCAAATACTTGTAGGGTTAGTATCTGCAGCAAAGTCTCCAACTCGTGAAGAAATATCTCAAACAGTATCTCATTATCATCAATAGACGAGAGTGGAGGGGAACGGACAAAGGAGAAGATGAAGATTCACACAGTAATCCCTTGAAGTGCCACGTGACACTCAATCTCATGAAGACCATGAACACATTGCAGATTCCAGTATCGACCTAAAACCAGGTGAGTACCCGTTCTCCTTCAAACACAGATCCCGATCTTCCTCCTCCTCACAATCAGTCACCTCATGTAGACAGCGTGGACAATGCCAAGTCAACAATCGAAGCAAGTGGCCATAGCCACATCACCAATGTAGACCAGTAGCGACGCCACATCAGCATGCCACATAGACTAGAAGCAGCGCCATGTATACCAGAGGCAGCGCCACATCAGCATGCCACGTAGACCAGAGGCAGCACCACGTATACCAGAGGCAGCACCACATCAGCATGCCACGTAGACCATAGATAGGCAGCGCCATGTATACCAGAGGCAGCACCACATGAGCATGCCACGTAGGCAGCGCCACGTATACCAGAGGCAGCGCCACATCAGCATGCCATGTAGACCATAGGCAGCACCACGTCAGCATGGCCTGGCGCACTGGAGGAGCGCCAGTGCGCCAGCATGCTGACTCTAACTCGTGCCGTCGTCCGCAACGCTTGTGCACAGCCAGCATGAAGCCAGCGTCATGTCAAAGTCGAGCCAGTGTCAAAGCAGCATAGCAAGACTGAATACCTTGACTCCCTCGAGGCCAGCCTTAAGTAGCAATAAGTGAGGCTCTCTGGCCTCGGTGCTTTTCCCTTCAGTCGTCCAGATTGACTCACAGCTGAAGGCCCGGATTGTACAATTACAGACTTCTCCCTTGGACCTGATGCTGTCTGGGTACCTGCATACAACCAAGTGTGTGTGCTTGACCTGCGGCCTGGGCTAGGTACCTTTGGACTTTGACTGTTGGGTGGACCGACAGTTGGCTAAAGTCAACTGTCACACGCACAGGCCCTGAATTCGTGAAGGGCCTTTTCTGCCCTTGTTCGGCCTGGGCTGAGGGCGGCCAAGTAGGCCCTCTGATGGCCCTCAGTTCCACGAGACATATGGCATGGGTTATTGCACATTTCACGATTTCTGAGTGTCATCCTTGCAAAGGGGCCATGCTAATCTTCATTCTCTGTATTGTTCCAATTTCAACGGATGTCGGGAAGGACACTGTCCTTCATTTTGGAATTCCCAATGTCAGATCGACAATGATGAGAAGGTTTACCTCTCTTGCAGACCAAATTGGGTGGTAAGTCCCATCCAAGGTTAAAATACGTGGGAGGGACCAATAGCGAAGAAGTACCGCAAAGGAAGGACGAAACAAACTTTGAAAAGAGAGTTAGCAAAAGAAAAGAAAAGAGAAGAAACTTAGGGTATAGCTCTCTGTTCAATTGAAAGAGACCACCATCATTGCTCGTTGTTGGGCAATCCCTCTCAAGTCCCTTGTGGCTATGACTGCACGGTAGGAGGCACAGCTCGAGTCCCTTGTACCGAGCCGCTCCGAGTCGTTGTGGCTATGACTGCCCGGTAACCGCAACCTTCTCGAAAGCCTGGTGACCACGATGGCCACGAAGGTCGGGCCCGAGACGTTCAGTCCCATTCTTCTATCCACACTGGACAGAACAGAAACCGTCGATCTCTGGCACAACAGCGGAATGCCTTCACCGCCGCAACCGTGATGTGATGTTCAAAACTGGGGTCAGACAGGAACGATGCCCGACCCCACCCCCGCACGGCTGCAGTGTAATCACTCACTCACACACATGGGAACGACTCCAGAGTCCAGACCATCCTGCAAGGCCCACAAAGTCCCCTTATCGTAGCCACCTGGGCAGGGAACAATTCCCCAGCTAGTTTCCAGGCAGAGTACTATCCTTGGATCGACCTGCGCGGAATCGAACTGCCGATCTCTGCCTTGACAGCCGAATGCCTCTACCACTGCTACGGTGACGTAGTGTTCCAAAGTGGAGCCCTGTCGGTCGCGACCTCCATCCCACCCGTGCAAGGCTGCAGCAGTATGTCCAAGTCCAAGTGGGACATGGCCCCGTGTCTGCAGTTGTTGTTGTTGTTGTTGTTGTTGTTGTTGTTGTTGTTGTTGTTGTTTAACCCAGAAAGATTCCATTCCATCATAAACAGGAGGCCGTGGTCCTCACACTCAAACCGGAGAAACAGCTGGGAGCTTTTCTTTTTTTTTTGTCTCGGATTTCGTTTACACGAGAAACCCGAGACAAAAAGAGCTGAATCCGCACTAGTCATGAATCTGAACAAAGACATGAAAAGGAAGAAGAGGACAAAAAAGAAAAAGAAAAACTTAAAAAAAGAATATTTTTGGTCCTTCACACGGACCTTCAGTACGCCCATTAAAATTGGAACAACGCGGAGAAATTATCAGTAAGGCAAGCGCACAAGGATAACACACAACAATTGAGATTGAGGTGGAGCTGCTGAGAACATTTTTTTTCTAATTCATTCAAAGTAAAGCAAACGATGAAAGGGATGGGGAGTCAAATTGAGAGATGGTGCAAATAAATAAGAGCCGTTTCATGCTCCCCAGAATGGAAAAGGAGCCAGAACCCTAAGTTTCTTTTTTTTTTTTTTTTTTGGGGGGGGGGGSGGGAAAWAATTTCAAAWAAGAGCAAAACAATACGAGGAGGGACCAAAAGAGGACTGGGGAAAGTGGTCACCTTGGGGAAAATGGGGTCTATTTACTCACATCGATCATCTTATCAAATGCCGGCAAGGAGGTGACATCAGGAACCCCTACAAGCTCGATCTTGTAGTTGACGGTAGGCTGCAAAATGCACACCAATCAATATCCAACCACCCTTGCATTAGAGTTGAACACAGCTGGAAAAAAAAAAGAGGCATAAAATTCAATGAATGAAGCAATTGCAGATGATAACAGGGAGGAGAAGAGAGAGGAGAGATACTGAACAGTTGCGAGTCGAAACAGCACAAACTTGCGCGCTGCCACACCTCATGCTCTGGTCGATCACCAAAGAATCAGATTCTAAATTTTCTAAAATGAGAAAATGATTTACAAAATATCATTTCATTATTTCCTTTCCTAAGTTACTCTTTTATAGTGTTTTTTAAGTCTGGACTACCAGCCAGTCCGCCAGGGTCACCTTGTTTGTCCGGGCGGCCCGGCCGTGCAAGGGCCAACGAAGGTCCCAGCCAAAAAAAAAAAAAAAAAGAAGTTACGCAGAAAAATAAACTGAACAACTTTTGCCTCAGGGTTACTTCGAAACTCCTTACCAAAAAACACACAAATGCATAAAAAAAAAAAAAAAAAAAAATTTTTTTTTTCAAACACCCATTCAAAAAAAAAAAAAAAAAAAAAAAAAAGAAATGATATGTTATTTTTATAAATTTAAAATTTTATTTTTTAAATCATTTTTGGCCCAGCTGGGCAAGTTGCCCGGGCCACTCTGGTAGCGTAGCTACTAGCTACATATTATTACATAATTATTAATTAGCAATTATTATAACTGGGGGTGACACACATAGTAGTAAGTCCTAGTAACGCTAAACCATGCATTCTTCGCATACTTGCCCACACGAGCCCCATGGCCGTACGGTGCAGTGCGCCGCGCAGAACCTGCCCGTGCGGCGCACCAGAAATAATTACTGTTTTCTTTTGTTTTTTTTTTTTTCTGTTTTTTTTTTTTTTTTTTGCTCTTTTCGTAGAGCATCAGAAATGGCCTAGGCTCAGAAATAGCCTCAAATAGGTCTCTGGGAGGTCAGTCTTGACAGCTAGGTGGCGACATGACTCTCCCAGCTTCTTTTTCTTTTTTTTCTTTTTTTTTTAAATGCTCGTGCGCCGCATGGATCCCATGTGCTCGTGCGCCATACGTGAGCAATTGCTGCACGGCGTGCGCTTGCGCTTGCATGTAGGTATTAACTATTAGTCTATTACCCTATTAGCTATATTAATATTTTATTTTTTTTGTCTTCGCGCTCTGATTCACAGTGTGACAATGTATAATATATATGACCTTTCCCAGAGAAGTCTTTAGTCTTTGTTATGAAAAAAAAAGAGACCTTCCCAGAATTTATTATTTTATTTTTTTTGTCTTCGCGCTCTGATTCACAGTGTGACAATGAATAATATATATGACCTTTCCCAGAGAAGTCTTTAGTCTTTGTTATGAAAAAAAAAGAGACCTTCCCAGAATTTATTATTTTATTTTTTTTGTCTTCGCGCTCTGATTCACAGTGTGACAATGCATAATATATATGACCTTTCCCAGAGAAGTCTTCTTCTTTGTTATGAAAAAAAAAAGAGACCTTCCCAGAGAAGGATTGAGTTTGGCAATTAGTGAGACCGGTGACATCATGCACATTCAGTTTACAGCTTTGAGCGCTATAACCAGTCATTCTGGAGGAGCTGTGAATTTAGCTATTTTTACTCCTAATTTATCGGGTGCGTCCTCGATATTAGGTGCTCTCAATTTCATTAGGACTATTTTTAACATGTGCGACCCAGGAATGTACTGCGCGTGTGCTGTGCTGTTCTACACTGCTACACGTTTCATGATCGCTCAGTCATTGTCTAAAAACGTGGATGACCCTGATTGGATCCGGTTGTCCCATTCAGCTAATTCTTCCAAGCTTAAGGCCTTGTTGGAAAAGTACTTCGCTCCTTATGCGTGTGCATGGAGCTTAGCAGCTTATGCCATCCATGGAATTGCAGTTTCCTTATGCCCAGGCATGGGACTTACCTCCTCATGCCCACCTGCGCAAGTGAATTCCAACAAAAACAATGGTCCAAAATTCTGCAAATAAAAAAAAAGGTATTCCTATACACCCCCACAGTGCCCCCACAAAATGGAGTTGTGCAAAGATAGGAGTATAGCCTATTGTGCAGTAACAGTACCAATATCTACAAGTCGTCGTTTCCAAATACGATTCTTTGTTAACATTTCTTCTACTTCGTCTATACGAGAAGCAAATTGCTGTGAAAATAGAAAAAGATCTTCGCTTAAACCCAAGGGTAAATTCCCACAATCTGGCGAACTAATTACACACATGCACTCTGTACACACCTCGCAGCAATTGCACGCAACAGCAAGCCATGGAGGAGGACAGGTCACATACGTAATCTTGTGAAACAATTAACACACATGCACTCTGTAGAGTCTGTAGTCTCTGTACACACCTCATCACAGCAACTGCACGCAACAGTGAGCCACGGTACACAAACACCACACAGTTGACTTACCTACCACCTGCTCCTCTAACCACCGTGCGGCAGAGGAATCAGGCTGGCGAAGGTGATGAAAGCTCTTCATCCTGACTAAACTTGACAGACATTACACAGCACCCTCCCTGCAAAGACCTCAGGGCAACTGCATGCAACAGAAGGCTCCTCTAAACACTGTCCAGCAGAGATGTCAGGTTGGCAAAGGTGATGATTTGTTTTTCATCCTGAGACCTAGGCTACCAGAGTGACCCGGGACCACTTGCCCGGCCGGGCAAAAAAATATTTAAAAAGAAATTAAAAAATAAAAATAGGTGTCCTTCCTGACATCCGTTAAAATTGGATTGATACAGAGAAGATTAGCATGGCCCCTGCGCAAGGATGACACGCATAAATCGAGAAATGGTCCAAATCTGAAAAAAAAAAAAAAAAAAAAGAGGAAAGAGTATTTTACTATTTTTCTATCTTCTTTTTTTTTTGAAATACGGTAAAGGATTTCGATGCGACGCTGAGGCAAAAGTTGTTCACTTTATTTTTCTGCATAACATAGTTTATTTTTGGAGCTTTTGGATGTTTTTTTTTTGTTTTTTTTTTTTTGCTGGGACCTTCCCTGGTCCTTGCACGGCCGGGCCGCCCGGGAAAATAAGGTGACCCGGGCGGCCCGGCTGGTGGTCTAGCCTGAGACAGACAGTTCAGCAGAGCACCCTCCCTGCGTGGATCTGAGAGCAAAAATTGCATGCAACAGAAGGTCACCCAGCACAAACACTAGACAAAATACCTTGCCCCTTGGCTAACACCTCCTCCTCCTCCAACCAATGTCTAGCGGGGATGTCAAGTTGGGTTAAGGTCACAAACACAAATACACATCCTGACAAACAATTCAGACCAGCAACCTGTTCCTGAAGAGTTCTCTATTCAATCTTTGTGGTCTTGCACCCACCCCCACCACGCCCCCACAATGCCCTCTTTCCCCTTCCTGTCAAACAAACAACAAAAGACTAACAATGCCCGCTTTTGCTTCCCTGCCCACGAACAAAGGGCTCCTGGTGCCCTCTTTCCCCTCCCTGTCCCACAAACGAAAGAAGACTCTAACCCTGTCTCATGTTTCTGTCGCTCACTTGCTCACCTCGTCAGACATTGAGACCAGCATTGCACCGATGCATGGGAGCTCATCCACTAGCGGCTTAAAAACAAGCTTCAGCATACAATGGAATTGTATTTTCTTAACCTGAACACAAACAACAAGCCAACGAACAAGTGAAAAAAAGACTGAGCATGATGAGGAGGGGGCAGCTTGAGGTTTCCCCCCCACCGTCCCCAAGAAAAAAAAAAAGAGGTGGCAGATTGAGAGAGGACAGTCAATCAGCACCAAGGTATGTAAGAGCTTAGCTTCCAGAAAAAGAAAAAGGAAGAAGACTGCTCAGACAGAAGTCATGCCGAGTACATTATGAGCCACTGGAGGCTTCTCTATCTGTTGGGAACGAATAGATAGATATATTAGCACTAAAAAGCGCACTTCGCAAAATGAACGATAAAAATACAGAAGACAAACAAGAAAAGCACACTGAATTTGACCAAAACCATTCAAATTTTCAATCAGGATTTTTATGTATGAATATATCATATTAATATATATATTAAAATTTTATAATACAATACATGGATGAAACGGTATTCACCAGTTCGAAGTAGCTGATGTAGGACCCAGGGTTCGATCCCTAGTTCCCCAACTTACGTGTGTACAATATCTGTGACAACTTGAAGAATTGAACCTGCGACCTGTAGAACCGCCAGTGGTAAGTAGGTCTGTCGTAGGTCTTTA